TTGGAAGTGGAAGACCAAGCCTGGGACAAGGATGACATCGCTTCTGACTTCATTGTAAGGCTGTTCGAAGGAAGTGCAGCGTGCATGTCAATGAATACACGACCACAAGCGAGTGGAATATTCCTGGTGACTCCCGAAAGGAGGCCTGATTTTCAGATGAGGCAACAACTAGCAAAAGACTGCTTCTACTGGACAGTATACAAAATAATGCCCATAGGCTTTGAGGCAAGAGTGCTTGCAAATGAATACTCACCTTGTGTGGGGACACAGCACTGCCTCAGCTTAGGAGCCGTGGTTCCTGTTAGATCTGATGATCTCTTGAACCCAAGGAAGCATGGAAGATTTGACAGTCTGTTGAAACCACGGAAGATCCGATGGTCTTGAAATCAGGGAAGATCTGACACTCCGTTGAAACCAGGGAAGATCTGACACTCTGTTGAAACCAGGGAAGATCTGACACTCTGTTAAACCCAAGGAAGATCTGACAGTCTATTGGAACCAGGGAAGATCTGATGGTCTATTGAAACTAGCAAAGATCTGACGGTCTGTTGAAACCACGGAAGATCTGACGGTCTGTTTAAATCAGGGAAGATCTGACACACTGTTGAAACCAAGGAAGATCTGACGACAGTCTCCTGAAACTAGGGAACATCAGACAGTTTCTTCACCTTGCAACATTCAAAGCAGCTGCATTCAGTGGATTATGTACCCGGCATTGGTCATCACCTAAGTGCTCGGATTCGTTAGGGGCTTTTCAGGGCAAGTGTACACATGAATTCCATCTGTAATTTCCAGAGTGAGAACTGCATGTACATGTACGGTAGATTCAACAGCACTGAAAAAAGTTGAGGCCTGAAAGTAGCAGTCAATTGAGCTAGGGTACTTAAAGCTCATACTAACAAAAAATATATGGAATCGCAAATATGGCCTTTTCATGCTTGCTGAAGGAAAATGGCATTTTCGAATTTCTGCCATTTTTTTCTCCAACTGTTAAGTGTTTGCTAATATCCCAACAGAACCTTATACCCGTAGCTAGAAATGTTTGGTAACACGGACACTGCAAGTTGGCTTTAAGCCTTGAGGATATTGAATGGGATGAAAAGTGGCAAACGGCCTACGTATTTTCTCAGAACTCCCAATTTGTCTTCTACCCTTTCCTGTGTTTTTACCATCTAAAAAACTCTTTTTCTACCCCTCAAGATCCCTCGAGGTTTTTTTTTGGGGGGGGGAAGGAGGGGAGCCTGTAGGGTTTTGACGTAGGGGAAGGCACTTGCAAAGCTGAGGGGACATTTTAAAGTTGCAGGTTGCACCATGAAGTGCGGGATATGCAAAGTGATGTGGGTAATTCCAGA